ACATGTCCAAAGTAGGAGAGGCAAAGTCTGGCCATTCTTGTTTCCAAAGAACATTCTAGCCACGTGCACTTCTTCCAAGCCAGATGTATTCATTTACTGATAATCCCTTCTTTGACAACACCATCATTTGAATGCATCAATTTTCTTCAATGTTCCTTATTCATTGACCAGCTTCCACATGCATATGAAGTGATTGAAAGTATCGTGACTTGGGTCAGGAGCACCTTCATCCTAAAAGTGACATCTTTGCTTTTGAACACTTTAGAGAGGTCCTGTGCAACAGATTTGCTCGGTGCAATTTGATATCTTGACTGCTGCCTCCAGGGGCCTTGGTGGTTGATGGTCCATTAATGGGCCCAGTAATATAAAAATATAAATTAAGATAAAATCCTTGACAACTACACTATCCTCTCCATTTATCATGACATTGCTCATTGGCCTCATTCAGACAGACTACACTCCTGCCTACACAACCGTGTTCACAATCCCATCCCCAGAAACTGTGACCAGGTGAGTTTTCCTGGTGACAGAGATTTGCATATGTGATGAAGGGTCTGGAGATGGGGAGATTATGTAGGACGATCTGGGCACATGCATCCTTACAAATGAAAGTGAAAGAATTGCAATCAGAGATTCGAAGATACCTTGTGTTGACTCTTAAGGGGAGTCAAGGAGCTCTGGAAGAGGGAAGGAAATGGGTTTTCCACCAGAGGCTCCAGAAGGGACTGACAGGCTGAAGAGTCTTCATTTAGCCCTGTGGGACCCATGTCAGACTTCCCTCCTACAGAATGCTAAGATAATCAATATCCATTGTCTTTAGTCACCACGCTGCTGGTAATGTGTTATAGCAGCAATAGGAATTGATGATAAGAGCAAATGCAATCAATCAAGTCTTTTGGGGGTAAATTCCTGAGTTTGCTGGCTGCTTCAGAAAATACTTCCTTGAATATCAGAATAAATGAAGAAAGGTGCTTTCAGGATAAAGAGGATGGGCAAGGGCTAATCTGTGGAGAAAAACAAAAGCAAAAAATGAACAATAACAAGGTAAACAAAAGTAAAGAAGAAGGTGAGAAGTGGGGATGGAGCATCACAGCATCCCCCATGACTAGTGTATGACACCCCTTGGCAGGGGATGCAGCACAGGGTGGAGGGAACGCAGAGGGTGTAAAAGAATGGTGTGTGTGTGTGTGTGTGTAAGGGGTGGGGACAGGATGACATGGACCTGGGTAGGTGTAGGCAGAGGAATAGGTGTGGCCTGAGTTAAGGTGTGTGTGTGTGTGTGTGTGTGTGTGTGTGTGTGTATGTGTGTGAGATAGGGAAGTGAATTGATGAGACACAATTCCTTCTTTGTCCTCCCCACCCACCTTTTAGCAAATAAAGCCCCAAACAGAAATGACAGTCATTTCAAATATGATCCCAGGCCAAAGGTCACAAGACCTGGCACTCTAAGAGTGCATTTGATTTGCTACCAGGTCCTCTTTCAAAATCCACAACGATCTATGGAATGCTGTGGAAAGGGATGCTGCCCCCCACCACTACACACATGTTGGACACACACATAGACACACACGTGTGTGCGGTGCTCATGCATGCACTCATGCGGGCACAAACAGAGAGTGTACTGAGGAATGGATTGAGCATGCTTTTGACAGCACATATTCTTCATCAAACCCAACTTCCCAGAAATGCGTAACAATGATCATGCTGCTTAATGCAGATGACTTTATATAAAAATATAGGTGAATACTGTCAGCTTTAGAAAGCTTGGCTATTTCATGATTTGTTCATCAAAATGTCATTTCAAAGAGGCCCTCTTGATTCGATGTATAATTGCTCCAGCTTTTAGTATTTTCTGCTTTGTTATTGATTAATGTTTTTCTTTGTTTCATTGCATCATTGTTCTTGTGCCATGTGTTTGTATTCTGACTTGATTTTGAATGATTTTCTGTATATGAAACCCAGATTCAGTCAACCGACGGGGACAACAACTGGATCAATCAATTCAAAGGGGCATGACAGAGGAGGCTGACGGAAATGGAGAGCTAGCAGCAACAAGCGCAAGGAAGGAGAAATATCCTGGAATTGATTACGGTGATGGTTACAGCTTATGAATGTGATTGAACCATTGAAATGTGTGATAGATGAATTACATATTAGTGAAATGGTTAAAAATGAACAAATTAATAAATTGTAAAAAATAGCAAAGGGAGGCTATTGCAATAAGCAAAATAAGATCCATCAACTCATGTCCCCTGTCCATTATGCTGATTTCCAATCTCGAAGTCACACTAAGGGGTTTATGTGTTGCAGCCTGGTCGATGGCTTCTCCAGAGGATGACATTGTTGTGCCTGTGGTGGTTCGGTGCTGTTGAGGTGGTCCCGTGCATGGGACAAGGAAACACCCCCCAAGCCTTTGCCACCCTCACAACTGTCCTGTTTGAGCCCCTTGTGGTAGCCTCTGTGTCAATCCATCTTGCCAAGGGCCTTCCTATTTTTCACTGCCCCTCCACTTGACTAAGCATGATGCCCATCAGACACTGGTTTCTCCTGACATGCCCACTGTGATGGACTACATTTCACATCTTCATTCATCCCACATAGGTTAAAATTACGTCGGTATTAGTACATTGGGAGAATTGTGAAATGTGACCAGTATTTCAAACCGACTAGAATGATTCCTCCCCGCATCATCCCTATAGACACGGAAAGTGCACAAAAATCTCACGTTCACCTCCAATCTTGGCAGTTTCTCCCCAATACGTTGGGATTGAAGTCCAAAATGCTGTCTTTGAATCGGTGTGCTACTTCACTGAAGTATTTTGATAACTTCGAACAGTCTTGGAAGGCAGGGAACCGCTGGGCCCTGTGGGGCTGGAAATCTCCCAGTGTGTCTCCCTGCCTTAGCCTGGGCTCAGGACAAAAAAGCATGGCGGCACCAAAGGGCTGAGCCAGAGCCAAGGTCTGGAGGAGGAAGTGTGCTGGGGATGCCCCCAACTTGAACCCTAACTGGGAACCAGGGGTCCACGGTGGCTGGCCTTCCTCAGCATGTACAATAAACACCCACTGCTATATTGGGAGCATGGGTTGCTCTGTGTGTGTGTGTGTGTGTGTGTGTCTATGTATACAAGTGACAAAGTACTTGACTATTAATGGAAAGCTGTTTCAGGTAAGAAATATGTGGCCATTGGCTTCCATAAAGATCTCCAGTCTTGGAAACCTGAGGGGCAGGCCATTCTACTCTGTCCTAAAAGGGCACTATGAATGGGAGTCAACTCAAGGCAATTGAGTTGGTTTCGTGTGTGTTTGTCAAACACTTGGATCTAGGTAAGAGGAGCTCCGGTGCCCTGGTGGTTATATGTTAGGCTGCTAACAGCCAGGCCAGCACTTCAAAACCACCAGCCAGTTGGGAGAAGGATGAGGCTTTCTACTGTCCAAAAGAGTTACCGTCTCAGAAAACCCACAGGGGGCAGTTCTGCTCTGTCCCATAGGGCCACTAAGAGTTGGAATCCACTTAATGAGAGGGATATAGGTAGATTTCAATCTATTTAACAGAACCATAAGGATTAGTTAACCTAAAATTGCATAAAACCAGTCAATGTTGAAATCTTCCAATCCACAAGTATTTCTTGGGTGAAATTTGTTTTTCCCGCCTCAGACTGAGCTGGGGAATCCATCACTGAAGGGTTCCTGTGAGAATTCCGAATGGCTCTCAGGGAGTTGGGGACTCATGTCCCGCTTTGGGCTGCAGCTTGTCACATGCACTCATTAAGAGAGGCGTGGATCAGCTGAGTAGTTTTATGCTCAGCCCTCAAAGTTTATGAACTTTCAAAGGTCACAGGAGGGAATGTGAGAGGCTCCCCAGGTCAAAGTTGGAACACTCTGAGTATCAAAGTCAATAATATAGTATTTACTTATTACTAAATATAAAATCAAACCAAATTCACTGCCATTAGTCAATTCTGACTCCTAGTGACCCTACAGGACAGGATAGCATCGTCCCTGTGGGTTTCAGAGACTGTCACTAAGCGAGTGGAAAGCCTCGGCTCTCTCAGGCAGAGAAGCTGTTGGTTAGCAACCAAACCCTTAACCAGGCTTCCTGGAGGTAGAAATAAGGATTGCGTAGGTAAACGCATGGGAGAGAAGGACCCATCTTCGTCATGCAGTACTGATCTGGGACAGTCATTCCTCAAAGGGACTTGCCTGTCCAGGCCTCACAACATGCCACAGGGTGCACACAGCCACTACTTTTCCATTGTCCGCATTTGTCTTAGCGGGGACTATTTGGGGTTTCCTTCAATGGCAGGCTGCCACTTTACGTGGGTTTTGGTTTAGGCTTATTGTAGAAGAATTCCAAATAATTCACGGCCACACTGGCCCTTTCAGGACACGGAGGGCCCAGGGCGGCACTGTGTGTGCTAGAACTGATCGCTGGTGGCTGGCAAGAGCTGCGGTCCTGGTGACATCCTGGAAGAGGTATGGATACTAATGGGGAAACCAGTGAAATTTAAATAAAGTCAGGAGTGAATCGTCATGTCCCAATATTAATGTCCTAGTTTTGACAAATGAACCGTGGACATGTAAGATGTGACATCAGGGGACACGGGGTGAGGGGGTACAGGAGCCCTCTGTATCATCTTTGATACTCTTCTGGAAATCCAAAAAATAATTATTTAAGTGACTAAAAACAACCTAAGCAAAAGTTCATGACCGTCGAAGCCAAGAAAACTCTCTTAAAAGGCCGCAGCAAATAGTTCACGGTGTAGCTTCGCTGAGCGGCTCTTAGGGTGACAGGGTGCCGGGAGAGCGAGCGACCAGGGTGCTGGGACAGGACTCCAGCCCAGGCTCCTCCCCCGCGTATCCTGGCTGCCTGGACGCGCCCTGGAGGCGGAGCCCCAGGTTCGGGGCAGGAGCCGCAGCTCCATCCTGTCCACCGGACGCTGGCGGGAAGGCGGGGACCTAGGCTAAGGAGCGGCGACTGGAGGGAACCCTGCGCTCACTGCGCCTCCGAGGTGGGCAAGCTCTGACCCCCAGCAGGCCGAGCCGCTGCACCAAGCGCACGCACGCCCGCCAGGTCACCTCTGCCAGGTGGGTGCCTGCCCTGCACCCTAGGACCTGATCCCCTGGCGCAGCTGCGCGCAGCGCCCCAAGGACACAGCCGGTAACCGCGTCTGGCGAGAAGACTGCCCAAGGCCTGGTAAAGAGAGCCCTCAGTGCTGGTTCTGGGTTCCGATTCTTGGGGCGCTAAGTTTCTTTCTCCCCACCACTGCCAGAGTTGCCTTGCCCATGAAAAGCCATCACCCCTCCTTACCCCGACCTGCCGCTGGTTACTCATTGACTGCCGTCCCTCTGCCAGGGAGACCTGCCATCCCTGGTTTCCCTGGGCAGAAATGAATGAAGGGGGTCATTGGTTCGCGCTGGCTGTCAGGACGCGACAGGTGTAGCGCAAACAGAACAGCCTCGGACGGGTGGCACGAGTGGGTGTCATAGGGGATGAAGGCTGGAAGTCGCCGCATTTGGGGAAAGAAGAGGCACGAGGAAAGCAAGTGTGGTGTGCGGGCTTGAGGAGGACGTGCGTTTTCAGCCTCCCTGGAAGGAAAAGGGAACTGAGGTTGAGGACAAAGTCCGAGAAAACAGCAGGCCCCGCCCCCCACTCAGTGCGGTCCACGACCATTGCTATCGCCCTGGGGGTGCTCTGATGCTGTTTATTTTGGGAATGAACGCCTCCCTTACTTCTTTTCTTCGTTGTCCACAGCACGGAGGGAGGGTCAGGCTAGAGAGGGGGTTTTCCTGCTTGCTCAGTAGAGAAGGGATGCCCCTTTGAATTTACCTAATGCGATTAAATATTCAGTTTGGCTGAAATCTGATGTTGCAGAAATTTGAGCTGGGCTGTCGTCTCAGGTGCCCAGGCAGGCACAGGCACAATCGGGCTGTTGTTACCAGGTGTCTGGGCTGCTTCCCTCCCCCAACCACCACGAGGGAGTGGAGGCTGCAGAAGCTGAAGACAAGGCCAAGAAGACTCCAGCCTGGCTTTTTAAGGACTTATAGAAAAGAGGAAATTCCATTCCTGGGACTCTGTTAAACTTCAGAAAGAAAGCCCTAACTTTTTTTCTTGACGAACCCAATTGATCCTCTGTGCTCACTGAAATCAACGACAGAGCCCTTTGCAGTGCACTTGTTTACCTTATGAATTTATGAATTACTAACAGGCGTGTTTGTTTGTTTGTTTACTACTTTATTTCCAATTTGCTCAACTACCTCGGACTTTAGTTGTCATCTAAATGTAGGCTCTGACTGAAAAATGAGCGGTAGACTGTTTAGAATGATAACTGGGAAAGGATAGAACTGGACATTTAGAAGGGAGTTTTCCAAGTCTTTTTTATGCTGCGGCTTCACATCTTTTGAACCGAGATATAGGTTGACCACAGATAACGTTTTACAGGGTAGACTCCAGACTACTGCAATGAAGTGGATGTTGCAATAAGGTACATCACACGAAAGTTTTGTCTCCTGAATGCATGTAAAATTGTCTTCACAGTATGGTGTAAGGAACCCTACGGACACTAGTGGGGACGTGGTGAACCGCCAACTGCACAGCTCACTGTTTAGATACGCCTCGGCAGAGAGGTGAGAGACTGAGTGCTTCAAAACCACATCTATGATCACTACGAGTGGATAGTGACTTGTAGGCAGTGGTGTTGGCTTGGTAAACTATTAAATGTACACCAATAACACTGAGAAAGCATTTGAAATATTGTGAGAATCACCAGTATGTGGCACAAAGTGAGCATGTGTTATTGGGGAAATGGCCCCAACAGGCTGACTCAATGCAGAGTTGCAAAATCTTTCAATTTGTAAACAAACAAACCCAATATGTGCACACTACAATAAACCAACCCTCCCCCCAAAAAACCCAAACTGACTGCCATCCAGTTGATGCTAAGTCATAGTGACCCTAAAACAGAGTAGAACTGTCCCTATCTGTTTCCGCGATGGTAACTGGTTACAGAAGTAGAAAACCCCGTCTTTCTCTCAAAATGCAATAAAACAAAGAACAGTGAAATGAGGAATGGCTGTATTTACATTGACATTTTGTGGCCCTTTAAATGACTTTTAATTATTAATGAAAATGTCATTATGGCAAAAATTTCTCTGGGTTCAGTATCACATTCAAATGAGTTCACATTTTATTGAGCATGATAACAGCATCTACATGGGTTTGGAAAACTATAGTGTCTGTATTCAGTTTTAGAAAGTGTTTAAAAATATTTTCTGTTCCTCAGATTTGCAGACCTGTCCTTCAAGGTCAGCACTTAGAAACCACCAGCCATTAGCTACTCCTCTGGAGAAAGATGAGGCTTTCGACTCCCTTAAGGAGTTACAGGCTAAGCAACTCATGGGGCAGTTCTATTCTGCCCTGTAGGCTTGCTGCGAGTCAGCATCAACTCCATGACAGTGATTTTGGTTTGCTTTTATGGTCAGTACATTTATTGAATGTCAGTGGTGTAGGGTACTTTGTTCTGTGCTGGAGACAGGCATCGGTGGTAGTGGTGGCGGCGGGGGTAGTGGAGGGGGTGGGAGGGTGTTACCAAACCCTACTGAACTCATTACTCTCACGTCAGTGCTGACTCATAGACCCCTAGGTCAGAACAGAACGTCCTCGTGAGGTTTCCAGACTGTCAACCTCCATGGAAGCTGACTCTCACATCTCTTCTTAGAGTAGCTAATGGGTTTGAACCTCTAACCTTTGGGTTAGTAGCCATGTACTCAACCACTGTCCTTCCAGGGCTCCTGGGAGGCATAGAATCTATGTAAATTAGAGACGTTCCTGTCCTGGCATTTAGACACCAGGGCCCTCCTGGCATGGGAGACTGCTGATTACCATCCTCATCAATGACCACAGGCTGGTTTTGATGACGCCAGAAACCATCTGATGTTTAAATCATGTACTTCTTTTCGTCTTTGTCATTTGGTGTGCTGAGTATTTCAGGTAAATGACAGAGTCACCTGAGATTTAGCCTGCTGACACTGGATGTCACCCTTGTGCTGCGGAATGGAGCTGCCGAACAGGTGTGCTCTTCAGTGTTCAGGGAAGCCTTCTCAAGGGCTGGAGTTAGGCTGGCTTCTTTCCTCCACCTTAATAAGTCACCCTTCTATCACTTGGGTTGATGCTCTGATGTTTAATTTCTCATATCTAACCCTCAACACAATTAAACATTATTGTGAGGTTACAAGATATTTTCTGGAAACTGAAACCAGCCCGTGTCTTTGGTTGCATACCTGAGGAATTGACTCTGGCCAATGTAAACAGAAAAGGAATGTACTGGAAACAGATGGAGCAGTTGCCAGAACTGAGAGGAGAGTTGAATCTCTGAGGTTAGAAACTGGGCAGGGTCCCGTGTGTTGGGAGCAGAGCCAAGGTCACTCACAAGGACAGCTGGGTTAGGTAACGCTGCAGGTCACGCATGGACACTGCCTCTGGGGTCTGTGCCTTTGAATGTGAACACCCCCTCCCCCGTGAGAGACTGCTTCCTTTCTCTAAAGAACATACAGTTGTTCACTGCCTCCACATGCCAGCCGTCAGCTCACCAACTTCCAAATTGTTCTTGCAAGAGAGAGCAGTGGGTTGGCGGAGGCTGGGTCTGGTTCCTATGCTCCAGGGCTGGGGAGGAAGAATGAGGAAGACCTTTTCTGCAAGATGCGGACAGGTGGTGATTCCACATACCTGAGACCCAGGGCCACACGCTGGTCAGGACAACCAAGGTGGACATCACGCTGGTGCTTTCCCTTAGCTTCCGCCAGAAGGGAATGGAAAATACCCTCGGGCTTTATTGCTCCTGATCAGGACTGACCTGGGGGCACTTAGGATACCTTCAGACACCTGGCAATTCTTTGGTATTGATCCTTCAATCCTCTTCAATCCTCCCGTGCCATAGCAGCAAGGGCTGCTCCTTGGGAAACTCCTTCAGCAAATTAGATGGTCAACAAGTTTATTCAACTTCGAGGGAGAAGGAGAAGACAAATAGTTGACTGTAAATTAAGTCATTGGAGAATTTAGTCCTTTCTCTCACCTGTAGGGGAACATTTAACAAACACTCTTGGAACTACCTTTAGTATGCCCCAAATTCAATGACATTCTACTCCCTTCTTTGAATGCAAGACACCATCTTTCCTGCCCGAATGACTACCGAGGCGCTGGACTTAGCCTGTAAATGTTCTTGCCCTACAGCAGCAGTTCTCAACCTGTGGGTCGGGACTCCTTTCAAGGTTGAACGACCCTTTCATGGGGGTCGCTCAATTGATAACAGTAGCAAAATTACAATGATGAAGTAGCAACGAAAAAAGTAATGTTATGTTTGGGGGGGTCACCACCACATGAGGAACTGTGTTAAAGGGTGGCGGCATGAGGAAGGTTGAGAACCACTGCCTGCCAGCTTGTCCCCACACAGCAGCCAGAGGCCTCCTCTGACAGGACTCCGAGGCCTTAACGCCACGTCTAGAAAAAAGTCCAACGTTTTCAGAGAGCTGCTAGCCCCCTTAGGATCCGACCTGTGCCCGATTCTGATCTTGTCCACCTCCCCAGTCCCCAACTGACTCCTTCACTCTCCATTCGTGGCTTACTCTGTTGTGTCTAGAACACCCGACGTCAACCCCAGCCTTTGTTATGGCTCCCCTCTTCTCTCAGATCACTGCACGGAGGACTGCTGACGTCATCCCGATGTTTTGGTCATACGTCACATCCTCAGGTTCTGCTCATCCAATCCCGTGCCCGCCTTCGCCTTCGCCCCTCACCCCGCTCTGCTTTTGCTCAAGGCTGGACCCCCGCCCACATCAGATTTCCTAGAGGTTGGTTGGTTTGCTTCATGGCCCCCTCTGCTCTGTATCGAGAGGCCCATGAGAGGAAGCAGCATGCCCCACTCACCTCTGGGCACAGATCGAGCACAATAAATATTTACTCTCTGAATAACTGAACCGAGGGTTAAGTAAAGAAAGGAAATGCCTGTGTTATCGTTTCTAGCACAGATACAAAAGTTCTCCCTGCCCTGGCGTCTCAAGAGGAGCCACTGTGAGTCTGTCCACGGAGACATGCGCGTCTATTGGGGGCTCAACATGTTTCAGTGGACCTTCTAGACTTAAGACTGATGAGAAAGAAAGGCCTAGAAATTTCTTCTCAAGAATCAGCTAATGGACACTCTACGGGCAAAATTGTCTGATCCACAACTGATGGTGGGGGTGGTGCCGGGCTGAGAACTGTTTTATTGTGTGTGTGGGGTTACTACCATGAGCAGAGAGCAGGCTCTATGGCCGTCCACCACAATCGCCATATATGTACGTCTGGCATGAAAGTTTTCTTAAGCCACGCTAGGTCACATAGCAGTGGAGTAGGTTAAGTTACATCATCGTGGCTGTCCAATGATGTGGTGGTTATCCCGCATAATCACACGAATGGCGTTGAAAAGGACAAACTATTTATCGGATGCTGGTGCTATTTTGGTGACACAGTGAGCTGCTAACTGCAAGGTCAGTAGTTCAAAGCTGGCAGCTGCTCCATGGGAGAAAGGTGGGGCTTTCTACTCCTGTGAAAGATACTCACAGGGGCAGTGCTACCCTGTGCTGAGGCTTGCTATGAGTTGCCATCAACTCAATGCCTGTGAGTTTGTTTGTTTTTTGGCTTGAGTGTTGTCAGGTGTGGATGTTGACCAATTATTGACCAGTTGTTAACACACTCAGTACGATTGGACTGTCTATCGTTAAAATCATCCAAAGGAGACATCCCCCATATAACCCTGATAAATGTCCCCCACACACACACATAAGACCACCTAGCCTCGGTTCTGGATATGGTCGCCCATTTTATTCGACAGACATGTACAAACCACTCATTATGGACTAGGCATTGGCATCCATGTTTGACTGATGTGATCCTGTAAGCAACCCGTGAAATAGAGATTACTGGTAGCCACATTTAGCTGACAAGGAAACAGAGGGATTGAGAAGTTGTGGAGCTCGGGCAAAATCATGTAGCTTCTGAATGGAAGGGCCAGGCCATTAGATGGGTGGTGTGTGCCTGCAGAGCCCTCCTTCTTCCTAGACAGTCTCTTGCAGAAATCCCCTGTGTGGTGCAGGGCACAGCAGAGTGGTTGCACCCGATGGCAAGAGAGCCAAGCCCTTTCTGCCTAGTGCCTCTACACCCTGGTGGGAACTCTGTGTATAAAGCTCTCATCCAGGAAATAAGTACTCTTGGCAAGAAGCCACTTGTAAGCTGCCTTCAATCCATTCTGGATTAAAACCAATGACATTCTTTTCTCACTTTAATTACCTGCTTAGGTTTTATTTTGAAATTTTATCTGCCTAATCTACTTCTGGCTGAAATAAAATGCTAAAATAGATTCTCCCCAGGATGGTATTGCCATATGGCAATGTGGACTTTGCTGGCTTGCGCTCACTTGAACTTCTTTAGACAAATCAAGGATGATGGGCACAAAAATTTTCTGGACTAACAAAAGAAATGGAACTTAAAGTCACATAGAGAATTGGATATAAGGCTCAGGAAAGAATTAGTCAGGAGCTACCTCTCCTGTTATGGGATACTCGTCTGCTGTGGTGGCTAAGCTAATAGAACAGCA